CCTTTTAGAGCCCTTTCAGTTACATATCATTTCAGTTACAACTGTAACATATCAATGTTACTTATTAGAGCTCTTTCAGTTATGTAACTGAGAGTTACGTGTTGACTGGGACTGTAACACCTAAATAGACGTTGTGATATTAATGTCGGTTTAAGTCGATTAAAATTTAATAAACTTACTTCTAAAGGCATAACATATTTATACAGGTTTTACGATATATAGCAATAATGAAAAACATCGTGGTTCCCAAATCTTTTACAAAATATTTGGAAAATTATTTATACTCCCAAATAGAGATAGATCGAAGAATACATTAGGATACTTCAATGTCTTTCTCCATAAGAAAGGATGAAATGAGTTGAATTTTTCGAATGGGCTTCAGTGGGTGACGTCTGACAACGTTTGTCTTGGTTGGTCGGCTATCTATATTTTAGGATATTAGGGTACTTTTTATATTGGCAATCTCGGAAGTTTATCGATTTCCACCTTTGAAATTAGTCAGAGGATTGAAAAAATGGGTGTAGTGCGTAAGCTAGGTACCTACTTTACATTATGCGAGGACTTCTGTGATGTGAATGGCATTTAATTAAAATGTAATCAAATTCATTTTAGGGGTAGAAATGGATAAAATTCGGCAATTTCCAAGATAAGAATCCTCTATTTCAACTCCCTATGTTACCTTTTATTTTTATGAAAATTACAAAGCCTATATAGCGCTGTTATTTTATTGATTATTAACTTCATTTTGTGATATCTAAATGGTTATAAAGAAGCATTTTTGAATCGTTACAAATATCACATCAAAATTACAAATGACAGATGACCTACTGCTACCCAGATCACATTGAATATTTCTGTAATATACCTAGACCCATAACTAGAATGAAGCAGTCGGGGTGGCAAGTACTTTTCTAGGTGGGGATTAAGAATTTTTTGCAAAAGACTTATATATCGAACAACTCTTAAATGCATATAAGAGTACATATGCCTTACTAAAAAAATGTCTCATTTTAATTTGTAAGTAGTGTGTTGAGTTGGGTACATTTGTGCTTTATATTTTGTAAAGGAACCATTAACCACAATCTTCAGTGGGGGCAAGACCACGTTCTAGGTGGGGTTCAGCTGCACGTGGCCACTCCCTGGCTAGGAGCCGATGATGACTGTGCCAAAACGAGCATTCTCCGTACATCCAGGAAATTATGTAACGGAATCCGAATAATCCAGGAATATTATGAATATGATTGGTGTGTTCTTAGCATATTAGCTGCTGAATACCCATGGAATATGTCAAACGAATGCATACGCTCATAGAACATTTTATGGATATTTGGAATATTCTCAACCTTCTAGCATTAAGAATATCGAATGTTATCTGGGTAACTGATGAGGAGGTTAATTTAAAATCGGTTATTCGCCTTGTATGTCCTCGGAAATATTTATATCTCCAAAGGTTCGCTTGTTTGAAGACACTACCAATAATACTTCATCATCTTGTAACCTTGGAGAAGATTCCACATTGGAATATTCTGATATCAAATCAATAGGTGTATGTATTTTATTTCGTTTTACGTACCATTTTTTAGCTCAACATAACGAAGTTGAAGTAACACTTATACGCTCAAATTTCCGTCGAGATCTCAGCCCCTAGGTCACTTAGAGACTTCGGGTTTTTGCTAATTGATAACTGCTATGGTCTATATTCCTCCGTTACTCATAATTTATAGTTGTGTTACGCGGCAACACCCGTGAGTAGGTTTTGAAACATTAAAAAAATGTTTTTTAAGAAAGTTAATCGTTAGGAGTGTTGTGGTATTAATAAATGACTAAAACTTCAAGCAGGCTGGTAATACATTGTATATAGACTAAGAATGTGGCTCCTAAATAAAATTGGGGCGGGCGACGAAGAAGCACAGCAAACTGATTTCATTACAGTAAGTGCATTTTTAACCGTCATTAGGTAATTTGACATCCCACTCGTGACTTGCATTTTTTGTGAGTGCGGCATATGAGTTAGGATAGTGTATTTATATCAACAGTCATTACACAGGGCGGTTGAAGATCCCAAAAACGTACCGACACAGGAAAGTCTTCTTCGACGAAATGTATCCGGTGATGGGGCCAAAAGTTCAAACGCGAATTTCGGGTGAACGGAACGTCGGAAGTGGGTACAGACAAGGGAAAGTGGTTGCCCCCTACAAGATCTTACTGATGATGGAGACAACACTAAAAACGCAAATTGCGGGTGAACGAGATGTCGGAAGTTGATACCGACAAAGGGAATGTGGTAGCCTTCGACAAGATCTTTTATTGATGGTGGAGTCAACACTGGCTAATAGAATACTGATATGCCACACAAAAATGCGCGGAAGTCCCTTCGGTTTCACACGAGGACTGTGTTAATTTATTAAATGTTAAATAATTTATAAGTCACACCTACGAAGAAAAAATTAAATTAAAACAAGACGGGCGTTCATTACCAGATATTTAGGATAGAAAAAGAAAGCTCAAGTTGTAGTAAAAAAAGATAATTTAATCCTGAAGTGTAGTTTTCCTGCAGTTTTCCTAATTCGTAAGGTAAATTCCGGAGTAGTAAGTATAGAACATCTTAAGACCTTCTGCAGGGACACCTCTCAAAAATTATTATGCGGGTCACTCTATAATTGGGCGCAAGCCTTCTGAGCGCCTAGAACAAGAAAGGGATAACTAAATAAATAAATAATTAAATAAATAAAAGAAACGAATGGATATGTGGATGCAATAAGAAAATTGTTCTCTTCTGTTTCTTGTGTGCACTTTTCAGCGGAGGTTCACAAATTGACGTTCAAAATTCAAAATTCCGCCATTTATGAATTGAATTGCATGAAATTGAAATGGGGTATATACACTGTGTCCAAGATAAGGATGTCCATCATGGGAATCTCCGAAACCATAAAAGATTATGAAAAAGTTACGCAATTAAAGAGTCGGGCGTCGTCCACGGGTGCACCACCCTGTTGAAACGAACAGTTTTCAACTTTGTTTGTGTGTGTACTGTACGTCGTTGTATTTGTAATAAAAAATGCTACTCAATACCAGTGTGTACTTTTTTACGGACCATATGAAAAAAATTTGATGATGATTTCTCTTATACGAAACATTGTATTGAAAATCTCTCAGCGCTGTCTTATAGAGTTCAAGACGTGGAAACAAGAATGTGTTTTTTGTTATTTTGTATCGGTTCAAATATCATCAGAAAAAAATAAAAACGAAATCGACCAACTGCGGTTTTTTGGCACATCTTCGGAAGTAATTTTTCTCGAATTTGACCATCGTCGCATCTTTTATGGTTTTGGATATCCCCATCATATATGGTGCCGGCTATGCCTATTTTGAATTCCGTGCAGTTCGGTTCACAACTAATGAAGATGTCAAAAGGGCCTTGTTTATTTTTTTTGGCTCGTATGGTCAATTCACGACGCCGGTCTACGAATTTGTTAACTTTGTTAACTAATTTCTATCTGGGGAAACTTCGGAAAAAAAAATGTGCCAGATTTGGGTTTGCTTCAATGGACAAAAAGTCAATGAAAAGACCATATTACATAAAGTTTATATTAACAAATAAAAAAACGTACCTACGTAACTTGTGGTTTCCATATTACAAAATAATCACAAAGTTGGTTATGCAAAATGAAGCTCTAAGCCTTTATACGTCCTGATCCATTCTGATTCGTTTGATTGTAACAAGGTTTTCGAATTCTGTCTAGTTTTCGTTTGAGAATTAAGCAACGGCGTCTTCAAAATCATCTTCACATTCGGGAATAGTTGCCGGAACACTAATTTGATTGCTAATCGAACTGCATAACTGTCCAGGTACATTGCCGATGTTCGAGGTACTTAAAATTTGCTCCAACGTCATTAATTTCATTTGAAAGTAGCGTTTCTCTTCGGTCAAGCACGCCAAGTCTTTTTCCTGCTCCGCTATTACTTGCCGTAGATCGGACATTACATTCAAATCTTCTTGTCTGGATTCTCTTCTTTCATATCTTGATCTTATCTCTTCAAATCTGAGAAAAAATCAGAGTTGCATAATTCAGATAGTTTGTAATCTCCTTATGAGTTATAATATCTTATTCCTCGTACACAAACTTTCAAAATGTCAATTTTGAACAAAATAAACTGTTTTGAGAGTACTTACAGTTTAGTAACGCATTGGCATTTCCGTTCCAAATGATCAATCTTTGCCTTCAGATCCTTTTCTGTATTCTGAAATGTAGCTTTCTGTTCTTCTAGTTCTTGTGTGTGTTTATTTTGCAACTTTGTGATTTCTTCGTGCAGTCCTCTTTAAAAGGAGAAAGGAAAAGTAAAAAATAGGTGAAAGGATAACTAGCTAATTTTTTGCATTATCTAATCTAATTTTAACTAAAATTTCGTAGTGAAAAAGAATAAAAAAAATATAAAATTAAAACAATCCATTTCAAAATCATGCAAATGATAGTTTTTTAATCGTGCATTAAAAATGATAAAGAAGTCAGTATTGCTATTATGAATAGGAACCAGGAGTCGGAAAGGAACCAAGTCAGTGAAGGGTGAACCAGTGAAAGGAAAACGAAATTGTTTACTAGTCCGTTAGTACATCTACATAATGAAAAAGTTGTATTAGTGATGTGATGATAAGAAACATAGTAATAATGATAAGTTTGGTTACACACTGCGGTAAAAGAAACAGTACCCACACAGGTTGTTTACGTGACATTTGTGGTTATAAGTTATTCAAAAAAATAATAAATGGTATTTTTAATTGGCTGTATCTCAGTTAACTTTGAGAATTGACCACATCTTTTGAAGAACTTTCTGCTTAAAATGAAACATGAAACACCCTGTACATTTAGTAAAATATAAATAAATAAATTTGGTGGAATTGCAAAGTCTGTAAGTAGTTGGTGGAATTAGCGGTCGTTTTTTTCTATAAGTCAGTGAACTGTATACAGTCTATTTCAAATTAACTACTATTGCTAACTTACTTAGTTGGAGAGATTAAATTGTGAGGTTTTGTCTACTGCATCCAAATGTGGAATTAAAAAAAAAGCAAAACAACATCGCATTTTTCAGATAATAAAAAAATGTTACTTTTTATATAATAAATTGGTCTCGGCGAGATTCTGGGGGGGGGGGGGGGAGGGGAATATGGGGGAATAATCCGGGAAAGAATGCGGCTCTTTGATAGCGGAAGCATCCATTTTGCAGTTGCAAAGAAAAAGTGAAAAAAATATTTGTTTTGAATAACGGGTTTGTTTACCGTGCAGGTAGAAGTGAACAGAGATTTGTGTATTGTGCTCCAGGTTAGGAAGAGTGATGACGTCAGTTTACGGGGAAAAAATTCCATCCGAGAACTTCACCGGTTGGATAAATTAATACATAGAAGCGAGTTAGTTGAATGTGTCAGTTTATTACACTAGAAGCAAGGATGAAATCGGTTGAAATAGTAGGAGAACTGGTGACAAGTTCCGATAATCTTATACGGAGTGAACACCTCAGCGCTAACAAAGAGCAACAGACAAACAATGAGGATGGCGGAACGGAAGGCATTAAGGATACTGATGGAATACAGCGACCTCACAAGAAAGCAGATAAGGGAATAACTAGGAGGAAAAATGATCACCATCAGGAGACTGAAGATGAGGCAGCTGAGATATTGGGGGCATATAAAAAGGAAGTACAAAGACCATATCCAGTATACTGCGGTGCGGTGGCGGTCTCAGGATTTCCATAGAGAGATGGGAAGAGTGGAGCAGAGATAAACACAAAATGAAGAAAGAAAGCAGACGAGTACTGGAGGTGGAGGAAGAATCAGACGAAAGTACAAGCGGTCAAGAGGAGGAGGAGGAGGAAGAGACAGAAAATGAGGCAGGAAGAGGACAACAAGAAAGATGGAAATTAGATCAAAGGATGGAGACATCGGAAACGAATGTAACGAAGGGGGAGAGGCTATCACCAGGAAGCAGAGTTCCCTCAAATGCAGATATGCTAGTGGCGAAGCTGTGGTCGTACTCTATTTGATTTTCCCGAAATATTGTTGATGTAAGGAGGGCTGACCGAGCTTGTTTCATATGTAGGAGGACATTCTTTTTACGAGGTTCAGTGATATTCATTTATTTATGTAAAAAATTAAGTGCTATATATCTTTAAGATTGAAAAATTATCAAGAGAAAATGGATCTGTGTTTTCTTAAAGATATCAACCTCTGGGCAATTTTGAAGCCGTTTGTATTGCATGCCTTTTTTTTTAAATTTATGCATCTATCAAAATTGCATTTCATAGAAAAAATCATTTAACGTTAGTTCGTTCAAAATTCAAGCTAGAAAATCTCCAAACTCATAGGATTATTTATAAGATAATTTGGCTATAAAAAATTGTGCCCTATATTGTTGTTATGTAGGGCATTAAGGACAGTGCCCACGCACTAGTTATTCGGAAATTTATAGCGAAAACTAGAATTAGGAAATGAGAGAAATGTAAATTGAAACCATTTTACTATTTCATTTTTTTCATCAAAATAAAAATGAGAAAAAATGCGATACCGTAAAATTTATGTCAAGAGCTAGCCCGGAGTTATTTTGCGAAACATATTTTCAAGTTCATTTAGGAAGTAAATATTTTATCAAAAAAGGAATTGTCAATCCTCATTGTGAACCTGTTACCTAATCACCCGCTACCATGGGGCTTCAAAGAAAAGTGCCATTGTAAGGTGCGCCCGAAAAAATTTCCCATGGAAGATTCGTCCTCGTCCGATTCGCCCCCGGAAAGTTCGTCCTCTTCGCGGGCAAAACATTTATGGCGGGGATTACTTTGCTCCATGAAAACTCCGGACACTCCCCAAGAAAATTACCCCCCTCCTTCTCGCCGAAGTACTTGATCTTAGAAGATTCGTCCTATGAAAATAGGCTTAGGTTTTCCTGCAGTTTTCCTAATTCGTCAGGTAAATACCGGAGTAGTATAGAACAACTTAAGGTATTCTGCAGAGACACCTCTAAAAAGCATCATGCGGGTCACTCTGTAATTGGACGCAAGCCTGTTGAGGGCCCAGGACAAGGGGGGGTAATAAATAAATAAAATAAAAAAATGGCCACAATATCTTCGTTCGCAAGGAAAATTCCCCTTCACGATACCGTGCTACACTTCCGAAAAGTAACTACCGCCAAAGACCACCAAAATGACTCTTGCTACGACCGGTGTCACGTGAGCTCTCGTAAGAACTATACTGCAGCTACATAGAATTATCCATCCCGTATCCTTGGTCCCAAATAGGGGTGAAAATGAATTAGTAATGCGTTTTTCAAGGATTACAAAAATTTGTAGAAGACTTTAAAAATAATAAATGTTCATGTTGAGACTTGATTGGATCTAGCCCCCAAACGAAGCATTTTAAACCTTTGGTTTATCTGGAAAAATGTTTGCTTTGAGAATTTCTAAATTTTTGATACAAAACTTAATTTTTATGCGCTGTGTATTGACTTATCGTGTAATAAGTATTCATACAGAAGTAGAAAACACATAAAATTAAATATGGAAAGCCTATCCATACAATTGATCAACCTATTCAAAACGTTAAAAAAATTAACAAAAACAAAAGATGTCTACTAATAAATAAGAATTTTACCAGAGAAAATTGCGAGAGAAGAGATATATCAAATATGTACACAATTTAAACAAGGTTATATATAGAAATAGATAAGATGAGTGTCATCTGATCACATCAGTAAGGTTGAAAGATAATGATCTGCAGTTTCTACTTGATAATACAAGCTATGAGTCATCTGAGAAAAATTGCAGGATATAATAAGATAAAAAATGAAACTAACGGACCAATGTTGTTTTTAACTCAGTTTGAAGTTGAGTTTTTTATTGGAACGTCCTTGTCTCTCCGAGGAGAAGATGCTGCGATTACCCGGTCGTTAGTGTAAAATGTGTTCATTGAAAACTGTAATTGTTTTTGTGTACGGTGTACGGATACCTTTTATTTGGATATTACAATTCCCGGACAAGTAGTTAAGTCATAATTTTAGTTTATTTGTAATAACTGTTTGTGTTATTGTACCATTTTCCTTTTGTGTGTTAGGATTAAATCCCACTTTTGTAATCTTCATCATTAATTTCCGTGTGTTATTCACAACAACGTCTTTTCTAATTTACCGGTTGTTTTTATTGGATGCTTGCCCAAGGTCCATTTTAATTATTCAAAATTTTGAAGTTCAGTTTGGAGTTTAAGGTATTTGGTCTGACTCACTATCTGTTAGAAGGTAACAGGTTAACTGAGAGCAGAGTTGAATCTCTCCTCTGTGCTGGAGAGAAGTTTTGTGCCGTCGTAATAAATAAAAGGGAAAGAGCTAGCTAGGTTTTTGTTTTGGTGTTTTGTGTACGGTCTTTCTGGCCTACGGATCAGTGCACACAGCATGTTGTCAACGAACTACCATTAGAATGGAGAACATACAGGGTGTTCCTGTTCCAAATCGCATAGGAAGGTTAATTGAGTTTTGCAGATTAATATTTTTATTAAAATTTTCGTTTTAAAAATTGAGTTTGACAAGAAGCCGTCATAAAACATTGAAAATATCGATTACAAAAAATGAATTTCTCCGTCATTATAATAACTATACCTAATAAACAGTTTGATATGAACGTTTCTGAAATTTTGGTAGTTAAGAGTTAAGTTGAAAATAAGTACCGATTCTAACAATTTCCCCAAGAAAGTCCAGAGTGCAACTGGAGCTCAAATAACCATTTCTATTGACAAGTAGTATGCGTTATGAATTTTTAATCGTAGTTGGAGAACCACTACGGACTTCGCTGAAGTTCTGCCCCTGTGAGTAATTGAACGAATTACGTTACGATTGAACTTCTATTTCTATCATAACCTTCTATTGTGTTGAAACGTTGAGTGACTATTATTAATTACTCAATGATTGAAATAAATAAGTGGATCAACATTAGTTATTACTTCCATTACTTTACATTTAAAGCATTGGAAAACTACTGATAAGCGTTCTCGAATTTGCAATTCAAGTTAGGTAAAACTCATAGGTAAGTACTATTTACATGCACAGTAGAACCTAACAGTATGGTACTGCAGTATAAGCGTTACAACAATCGATGGGCATTTTATATTCTACTAAAAGAAAGGTGCAAATGAAAATAATGTTACAAATAAAGAATATGACCCTTTTGATTCACTCACTCATACTACAAATGATACCAACCTGATTTTATAATCTGCTTCCATTTTAATCTTATTGGCAGTTTCTCCATTATATGCCATTTCCTGACGTAAAACTTGAATTCCACCCTCCAAAGTATCAACGTTGCTTTGTAAGTCTTCAATGGCAGAATTTTTGCTGATAATTTCGTTCTTAAGCGAATCAATCGCCTTGAGTAATTCTACCTCGCGGGACTGATGGGACTTTTGTTGGGTGTAAAATTGATCTTCTAAAGTTTTTAGCTTAGTTACGTATTCCTCTTCGACTAGTATTATGGCTTCATTTTTTTGACGAATTAAATTCTCCCATTGGGCATCTATAAATGTAAGTGACATATCCGAAAGAAATGCTCATTAACTACGTACCCAATTCTGCTCGGTGTTGGTCGATCAGGCTTTGAATTTTTTCTTGCGATTCGTGTTCCATTTGTTCTTTCACTAACTCAATAGTAGTCCTCATTGAACTTAATTGTATATGCCAACTGCTTTCGGCGTCTTTCATTTGCTTTTCATGCTCAGAATTAATTTTATCTGTAAGCCAGTTTCGTGACTTTATATTTCACGTATAAGTGTAGCATACCTATTTCTTCTTCGTGCTGTTGAACTAACTTTTCAAATCGTTCATGGTGGCTCATGTCGATTTTGTCCATCACTCGCCGAAGTTCCATTATGTCACGATCGGTATTTGATTGGATTCTTTCAATTTGTTTCTTATAATACTCGTCCTTTTCAGTAAGTGATGTTTTCAAATAATTCACCTGGAGAGATACTTATATTATCGATAAGTTGACAAAATAAAGCGCATACTTACCTCACGAACGTATTCAAGAATTCGCTTTTCGTATCCCTCTTTCAAATCTTCAATGTCAGATTCATGTTCGGATTTCATCGCCTCAATTGCCGCAAATCGTTCTTCGTAATGTAATTGATCTAACTCTGATTTCAGTCTTCTACACTCTTGAAGTAATCTCTCCTCCCAATAAATGGCAATGGCAGTCTTTTGTTCTGCTAGTTTTTCTTTTAATGCCTTCTCCTTGTCAACAATTTCTCTGTTGTGCATTCTTTGCATGTGTTGCAAGTTTTCCTTTTCGAGATCGACCATCGTCCTCAATTTTTTACTTTCGTCTTTCAAATTCTGTTCGGTGTGTTTCATCTCTTGGAGCTGCTGCGAGACGACATCTAGCGACTTTTGCTGTTCTTCGGTCAAACCTCTCAGTTGCTTCACTTCACATTCGTAAGATTTCAAATTTTCCACCTTTAATTAAGCTTACCGTCGATTAATGTTACCACAGAAATATCACTTTACCTCTTTCATTAACTGTTCCGCTTGTTCCACTTTTTTGTTCGCGTCTTTGAACACTTCTTTTAGTTGTTCCTCGATCTTCTTGTCTTTTTCTTGTAATCTCTTCTTACAGGACTGCTCTATTTCTCTTAATTTCCATTCAAAATCATCTAAGAGTTCTTGTTCTTTTACTATACCCACTGTTCGCAATTTTTCAAAATCGAGTTTCCATTTTTCTTCAATTGCAGTTTTATCCTGAATTGACTTTTCTAACGCCGCATCCAGAGTTTTTTTGTCTTCTTCCCGCTGTTGCATGAGGGCCATCTTTTGCTTCTCCAGATTTTCTTTCTCCTTTTCTAATACTTCTAACTGTATTTCTAGAGATTCTATTTTTGCTCTAAGACCTCTAATTGTGTACTGTAGTTCGGTAATTTTGGTATTCGCGTTGCTTTGGAAAGTTTGAAATCTCTCTGTAAGTCAATGCAAGCAGTTCTTCAGTTCTTGTGTTAATAAAAAAGGCGATACTTACCAGTTTTTTGGGTCAATTCGCTAGATAAATCACAATTCTTTTGCGTTGAACTTTCAAGATCATCTTCAACGTGTTTCAGTCTTTGGCGAAAGTTCTCAGATTCCTTTAAGGCAGCTTGAAGTTCAGTTTGGAGACCTACATGAGACAGACAAGTACCCATTTAAAGGTTAATATAGCAGATACGTTGCCCTAATGTTGTACTTATCATAAACACATAAGGGGGAGATCAAATCAACCTGACAGATTAATTAAATGCAAAGCAAACAAACATCTGATAATACCTAAGTAAAGTAAATGAGTTGTGGGGAGTTAAAAAATAAAATTAATACGTAGGTTTCCATAGTCAATTAATGAAACATTTATAAATCACTATAATAAACCTACAGTTGTACAAAATTGCTTTGAAATCTCAGAACAGTCACAGCAGAGAATTGTGTGCATTCAATTGTGCGGAAAAGCTCTAAACAGATTTTGCACCTTTTGTAAGTCAATAGTAACAAGGGAGAGGAATTTGGAATAGCCACAAGTCACTTAATGCAAAAAAAACAAGGGTTTCCAATTCCGACCGAATTTGTCATCTAAACTTGACCTAGACATTAACGACAACTTGTTTCTAAATGTTGAAACAGTTAAGTGTATGAAAAAAATGGGAGTAGGGACCAAAACAAGCATTTTTTCCTAATAAACAGAAGATCCAAAATGTAGCAATTCCCCCAAAATTTGAAAAATTTCCATTTCCTATTTAACTCTTTCCTCAGGAGCCACAAACAGAGGAGATGGGTACATTTTCTGATTTCTGTGGGCATGCTCTTTCTTGTTATGTAAGAATATTTCCAAAATTTTTGTCGCAAGACCATAACCGGGGGTGCGAATGGCGATGGCGATAAAAGTCGGTATAATCAGAATAACTAATCCAAATGTTTAATTAGCAATTATGCGGATACAGTCTCTCGTTTGGAAATGAATCACATCATCAGCGCACTACCCTGTACTACTCAGTGCTTCAAAAGATTTAACCTCAATTAACATTCCACCTCAAACTTGCAGATCCTAAAATCACTGACCTGGAGAAGTTGACATGTTAATTGGTGCAGAGATTTTTTGGAATTTATTGTCCGTGGGTCAGTTAAATTAGCACCGAACGGCCATCTTATGCAAAAAACAAACTTGGAATGGGTGGTATCGGGATAATGTTGGTAGTATTGTTGTTCACATTTCTACCAAGTCGGATCCATCAGTTCTAGAAGATTCTCAACGGGATGTTCGAAACAGGTTGTTTGCAGTATGTTGATTTCAGGCACCAGTACGAACGACTAAGTCACATGGCTAATGTTTGGTCGCATTTTTATTTTTGCAATTGGCGGTGGGAGCAAGTGGAGTCTCTATATATTTGATGCAATCTGACAGCTCTTCGATCGCGGCAGACCCATTGAAATTTTCAGAAATTTTAATTCAGTAGGGCTGCCACTACAATCAGAGGTAAATTTCCCGCGACTCCCAGACTTTTCCCGCCTTTCACACGGATTTAGGAAAATAGTGCAACTTACTTATGAGACAGTCTTCATATGTAAAGACGCGAAAAGGCAGTGAAGACTCTCAGAGCAGTTTAACAAAAATATTCTCACTCTCACTTTTACTTTTGGCTTTGTCTTCTGGCAAGACATATATCATATTATCCGACTTCCATTTTTTGCAAGGTGTAGAAAGACCGATGTTTATAAATTTTACAAAATTACTTGATGAATCATTCCAATTAAAAATTTTGAGAATTCCCCGGAAAATAATTAAATTCCGTGGGAAGCCCCACACTTTCCATTTTTTGAAGAAACTGCCAAAAGCGCGATTTTTGGTTTGAGATAGAAGTGTTAGGTCCTTATTCTTATTCGCACACAAAGCAATTAGGCAAAGCAATAGAACACGTTTAATTCATGCTACCGTATATCCATCCGACTGTTAGGTTTTACTGGTATCAAGTGCTTCCAAAATAAGTGATAGCATACAAGCATATGATGGGTACGACAAGTTACATTATAAGAGAGCAAGTCTAGTCATAACACGGGATCGACAAGAAATCCAAATTCCAACTTTTTAGGGACAAATTATCCAAATAATTTGGATTGTTTTCGTCAAGATTTCCAATTTTTATCGACAAATTATCCAAATCCAAATAAAGCGACAAAATATCCAACCAATTTGGAAACTCCGATTTGGATATTTTGTCGGTGGCGCGACAAGATATCCAAATATCGAATTTTTTTAGACAAGAAATCCAAATTTTTTGGACAAAATATCCAAAAAGTTCGGAAATATTTTGATAAGATATCCAAACTTTTTTGGACAAGAAATCCAAATTTTATTCAAGCCCTGTAATCACGTATGGACCTTGTGCAGTACGAAACATTTCAGTTTCAGTGTTAAAGCACGCCATAGCATTTAGTATGTTTTCATACAGCGTCAAAGAATTAGTGCTTACCTAGTAATAAATGAGTTATAGGATAGCAGCAAAATGAACAACGACGAAATAAACATCTTTAGAATCCGTTAGTACACAGTTTATACAATGTATCTGTAGCTACTTACCAAAATATGAAATTATTAAACTAGGTACACTACACTATTAAACGCTGTATAAAAACTTACTGAATGCTAATTGCTATGCCGTGTTTTAACACTGAAACTGACATGCTGATACGGAATTTTTCGTACCACACAAGCTTCATGCCTGATTAAAATTATAATTAATAAGTACTTTTAAAGCTCAGCACTTTGACAAGCACAAAGCTCTCACGCTGAAAACAACTGCTGTTAAAAACGCCGACCTGCGTAGCTCAGATGAGCTTACGTTAGAAGCTCTAACTTTGGCTACAAGGGTCCTGGGTTCGAATCCCAGGTAAGGTATGGCTGTTTGTGATTGTATAGTGGGTTGAGTGGGAAGAGTAGCAAATTGCTAACACTCCGCCCACTATAAAATAAAGGTAATAAAAAAAAAACAAAAAAAAACGTATAGGTAATGATCAAATACACTAAAAAGCGGCGTACCTTTATCTATTCGAAAATTGGATATCTTGTTGAAAAGTTTCCAATTTTTTTGGATTTCTTGTCTAAAAAGTTTGGATAAGTTGTCAAAAAATTTCCGAACTTTTTGGATATTTTGTCCAAAAAATTTGGATTTCTTGTCTAACAAAAATTCGATATTTGGATATCTTGTCGCATCACCGACAAAATATCCAAATCGGAGTTTCCAAATTGGTTGGATATTTTGTCGCTTTATTTGGATTTGGATAATTTGTCGATAAAAATTGGATATCTTGACGAAAACAATCCAAATTATTTGGATAATTTGTCCCTAAAAAGTTGGAATTTGGATTTCTTGTCGGTCCCGTCATAACACAGAGGTTTATCACATGATCACACAAATTAAGAAACTCACGATCCATTCCGGCCGATTTAGCAAATACGTCCCTCTGCAATTCTTCCATCTGAAAACGTAGCTTGTTCGCTTCCGCATCTCGTATGGATAGTTGCTTGGACAAATCATTCAGTTGACTTTGAAATTTCGCCTCTTGATTTATCAAATTTTTCCTAAAATAAAAACGTAATTGGCATAAGTACGTAGGCGTTTAAGACGAAACATGTGCTGAACAACGTCAAGTACATAAGATGTGCTAATTTTATATCAATCATTAAAATGTTCTAATAATAAGCAAAAGAAAAACTATGTACGCAATGCGAATGTCTTACTGATAACGTACTTAGCGGCATCGTCTTGATGTCCATTTACCAAAACACTGCTCTCTTTATTTGAAGATATTTTTGACGGCGGATGCGATAAATTCGTGGTTAGCTTAATTTTGGTTTTTTCGTCTTTGTTAATGGGATGATCTGTTAATGAAACCTTTAAGTTCTCAATTGAAGGATCTGGTTTTAATGGTGAATGTTCGTATGAATGGACACGGCGATATTTATGTCTCGCAGTCGCTTCCAGATCTGGGCTACTTGGCGGTGTTTCGCCCACGATATCACGTTTGACGGGAATTTTTGGTGCAATCGCCAGGGTGCCGTGTCCGCAGGGCTTAACACTGCATCGGCGTTGCTCACTTTTAACCACATTTGCGTATGACGTAATTTGAGACGGTATTTGATGTAACGTTCCATTAGAGAGATTTTGGCTCACATCCATATTAATCACCGGTTGATCGGATAAATCAGTCTTTGTATCGATTTTTTCGTTTTTTTCAGGAATAATTTTCGCGGTCACTTCGTCACTATTCACTACTGATGTGTCCTCGTTATTTTCGCGTAACCCAAATTCCGTCGCTACGCAGGGTATGACGTTAATATTCCCACCTTTAATTACAGCCGATTGTGTTACTTTATTTTTACACATTTCTGAAGGTGCATTCGTTAGAGAAGTGTTTGTTTTACTTCCCTTTTCGCTCTTTTTCTTGCTTTCATTTATGCCATTGCTGTCAACATCCTTTTTGGCCCTTTTGAAGAAGCTGAACATGTTGCCTAATTTTTATACGGGGCAAATGGCAAAAGTGAATTACAATGCATTACTTACGTTGTTGTGAAGAGTAACAAATTAAATTTAGGTAGACTTCCGTATTCTAATTCAGATAAGAACCCCGTTACATTTTACAAGTACCGGTTTATTATTAGATTGTATTTTTTTGTCACTAGGAACCGGCACAAATCTAGGCGGTAGGTACGCTTGCCGGAAAACATTTGTTGCTCAGCGTAGATGGAAGCCAAATTAAAAGTGTTTCATTTTAATTAATTGAGGCGACAAGTGTCTTGCCACCGTTTAAAATTATTACTAAACAATTTTAAAGGGAAGTTCATATTTTGAAAGCATTTTGGTTGTTGACTTTTGGAGGGGAGCTCTGGAAATAGCATTAGTCTGTGCCAAGATTGCTTAATGACGTCTTCAACTGGAAATAGAGGGGTGCAAATAAATGAGAAATTATATCCGGTCGTAACGATCTCCATGAAAAGCTCAACCTGTTGCTTCTGAAAAAGTTATGACTTATGAGCACTAGATTGGCATGTTAGTATACTTTGAATTTTTAAACGACGAACGCAAACGTCTAATGTGCGCACCGGGTTCATCCCTACATCGGTGTAGTGTTTGAGGACGTAACTACAGTATACCAAAAATCTCTCCTGGATAGTCTTTGCTTGTTACTACTAGATAATATAAATAATAGTAAAATAAAAAAATAATAGTCTTTGCTATTGGCTATAAGTTTCGCAGTTTTTGAAAATATCAAATCATTATTTTGTATGCACGTCCTTTTTTTGTCTATTTACAACAGATTCTAACAAAACCCTGGAACGTGCGAAACATCGTGCCGAAGAGCTTGTTCATATTACCACAATATAACACATATACTATGATCATTAAAATTCAATGCTATGATATTACTTTTAACATTCTTCCTAGATCGGTATGGAATTGATGTAACGTTCGTTGCCAAAAGTTAATTGGACCACGTTTAAAAAAACTGTTTGGTCTCTTGTAATTGTTTCATATCTCCGACCGTTAACGAGAAAAAAAAATAAAAATCAATTTTCTGTAGTTAGCGAAATGAAAATAAAATTTTTAAAATGTTCTAGTTATCTAGTAGGTCCTGGCTTTATTTGGATAATCTCTCGTTTTTATTATTTTTAACAGTTCGCATTTGAAATTGTATCTTGTGTTTGCATATGTTTATAAATGAAAAGTTTAAATTGTAAAGTGTACAGTAAAAAATTATCAAAGTTCTCGTGTGGATCGAAGGGACTTCAGCGCATTTTTGTGTGGCAGATCAGTACTCTATTAGCCAGTTTTAACTCCCCAATCAATAAGATCTTGTCGAAGGCTACCACATTTCCTGTGTCGGCACCCACTTCCGACGTCTTGTGCACTCACGATTCGCGTTTGAAATTTTGACTCCATCACAATTATGATCTTGTCGAGGGCTACCACATTCCCTTTGTCGGTACCCACTACTGACGTCCCATTCACCCTCAATTCGAGTTTGAAGTTTTGACTCCACCATCATTAAGATCTTGTCGGGGGCAACCGACGAGCTATTTCGGTTTAAAAAAATGCGCTTTATCTGCACAAGAGTTGTGCACAATTTATACTTGTTTATTCGTATCCCGCTGCCGAACGGTGTTTAAGCTATAAGAAAAAGTGGGTCGTTTCTGTGTATGAGTGGTTCAACTGTCTCCGTGGAGTATAGGTACCTAACACAGTCCGATTCTTCGCTGTATCTGTTGCCTGCTCATCTCGTGCGGATCGCAACTCTTGGCATGTTAGCAATACGGGAATTAAGGGGCCCTCTAATTAACATTTCCTACATTTAAAATATGTTTTGCTTGTGTGATAATCGATTTTAGTATGAATACTTGCTATTGGGATTCTCACATGTACCTTTCGTGTTAAATTAATTTTTGTTAACTGACGCTGGACCAGAGCCACGTCATTTTGATGTTTTCCTATGTACATGCCATTTATCATTTTATGAGCTGTTTTATCTTAATTGATCATATATGTGTTGTTGTACTAAATTGATTTATCATGTTTTCCACCTTTGAGACCTTTATTTGTGAATTTTTCTCACTTGCATTTTTTTGTCGTTGATATATTTCATGTATTGGTGTGGTCTATGTCGGGGTTTTTCCCCGTAGAAGGTTTCCTGGGGATTACCTTGTTGTGTGCGTATTTGTTCTTGTTTTTTCTTACGCGCAAAATTCTGCATTTCATTTAATTCCCTTCACGATTATCGCTCACGTCCCAACACATAAAAGAACCGATTACAAAACGTATGAGTGCATCTGTGCCATCCATATGGGGCCGACTGGTAACGAGATTCAAAAGTGCCACGAAACGTTCGCCGTTTCGACTTGAAAGGTAGGTAGGTGCAGGGCCGTGCGAAGGCTACCGCGCGTCCGGGGTGGAAACTAATTTTGGGGCCCCTCCGAATGTAAAATTATGAGGTTGGGCAAGGAACGATTTTATAAGAATAATAAACGTAATATTTGCTTTTCCATCATAAACTAATATAAAATAATAAATATTATTATATGCTTATAATTGGAGGTAAATCTTTCACTCACGCCTTTGACGCTCCTGACGTAGGCCCCGACGCCCCCCAGACCCGGGGTCTGGGCCCCTTTCGCCCTCCTTTCACACGGCTGTGGGTAAGTGGCTCTACTCCTAGCTATTCCAGTTTTTCCCAGAGTTGCCAACTGTAAGTATAGGGTCAACATTTTGATTGACTTTTTGAAAAAAGTACCGGATACCAAGTGGAGAGTCAATTCTGAATCAAGGCTTCTCTAACACACAAATAAATCTTCAACTTGGTAGCAGAGAAAATACTTAAGTCTATTTTTGGGAGAATAATGTTTAACTGTCTACCGTTGCTGAATCATCTGATTAGCACAGTTCCCAAAAACGTTAGATGCGTCTTTGAGGTCAGTTTCTCTGAGGAGTTGTAGTATTTTACTGATGTGTTGTGTTGGGGTCGTTAACTAGGTTACAAATTATTTATGGAGATATACGTAGTCAACATGCTTATGAAAATGTAGCTCGCCATCTATTACCTACGCACCCCAAAATTTTTTGCGGTTGTTGTCCACGGCACCATTACATGACTGTCTATGATTATTCGAACTGATGCGAGGCACGGAACTGAATGGAACACTTGGATATGGTTAATTTTCAGGCCATTTCGTTTACAACAATTAAAAATATTGCCTTAGGTTAATATTTTCAGTAATGTAGGACACCGGGCATTCTTTGTAAATCTGAAGGTTGTCTACATACATATATGCGTCTTAAAGTGTCTTAGACATTCTGGCAAGTTAAACGTAAATATAAAGAAAATGATGACGCACAACACCTTTAATTTTAGAAAACTGTGATATGTTGGTATCACTAAACCCTTGTTTTTTTGCTTGCGGTTATGTAAGCAGTTCTTGAACCACTTTAGTGATGTCTGATCTGAACCAATGTTTGCAGTAGGTCACTATACTTACGCAATCGAAAGTTTAATCTAGTAATACAAGCATACTAGATAGAGGGTTGAGGACAATTCCCCGAAAACAATTGCCGGAATACAATTGAACGAACATACAATTAACCGAACGTACAATTTACCGAATGCACTGTTAAACTGGGCGAAAAGTATTCAGGTTCCTAAGGTACCCAATAGGTTTTAGTAGTATTCTTCAGCGTTTACGGTGCAGTTTAAATTATTCTCTAAGAGTAAATTAGTCCTTTGTTAAATTTTGTTCTTTAATTTTTTGTTTATGTTTACTCTTTATTAGATCTGTCTTTTAGTTTTTCATTCTTTGTGTGTTTCTATAGTTTAAGAGTTTATAAAATTATACTGGTTGATCTTCTAATCCCAATAAATTATTCAATGTTGGAATGCGTTGCGTTGTGTAGCTCAAACTATTGAAGTTAGTTTAATTTTAATTGATTAAATGTAACAGCGTGGAACAAATGCTAAAGCTGATAAGTATCGAAGTGAAGCAAAAAATAGGAATTCTTGTCATTCTTTTTGCCTTCAAAATGATTTGAAAAAATAATGTATGGTATGATTCGGTCAATTGTCTATCGGTCAATTGTGTGTTCCGTAAATTGTTTTTTATTATACCTGAATCACAATCTCCGTTTTAAACACTCAAATGCGTGCGAAAAAGGGCCTTTAAAACACACGTGCTTTAAAGTTGCTAAGTAACGATACTTCAAGTATGACTTTTGAAACTGTCATCTGGATGAAATAAAAAATCCTCTTAGGTCGCTTTCTGTAAATGCAGAACATTTATTTGGCTTTTGTACCTATCCTTTGGTTGAAGCTTTCACAAACGCGCGTAATTTAAGGTATGCTTCCAAATCTGTTCCACTTTTTAATCGCAGCATTGCTTTAAGTTTTGAATGAATGCACCAAAATATAGAAGATTTAAATACCTTTGACATTTCCTTCATATATGCCAGCATTATGGATGCATTTAAGACTGTATTCGTAAGTAACTTCCTATTCATCCATGGAAACAACTTTTCATATTCTTTATAAAAGGCTTTACTGGAGTTGGATTTTACACCTACCAACGTTTGTTTAGATTTTACAACAATCGATTTAATGGACGGTGTATTATCTTTTTCAACGGAAATGTTTAATTCACAAAGACGATGATTTTTATAAGCAAACGTCAAGTGACATTTCCATGGCAATCGTGAAATTACGAACACCCAGCCCACTTAATTAGACATGTATTCGAGTATAACGTCAATATGACTTCATTGTATTTCCTATTTTTAAATTATACTGCAGGTATAATAAAAAATACTATAAGATACACGTGTATAATTGGTCTTTAAAGCACTTGCAACGTTAAAGGCACTCCGCTTTGCGTCGTGCCCTTAAACTCGTTGCGCGTGCTTTAAAGACTTGATTATACACTTGTATCTTAATATACTATTTCGGTCAATTGTCCGTTCGGTGAAATGTCCGTTCGGGCAAATGTTTTCGGCGAATTGTTTTCGGTGAATTGTTTTCGGTCAATTGTCCGGAACCGATTGATTTATCATAGGTCATTTATAACCTTAGGTAGGGCGGTGTTGCTTCCTAAATCAGGACTGTATTGGTGGAAATACATAGTTGTGATCTAGATAGTTAACTAACTGGGATGTAACCAACTTTTCCAAAATTTTTGACATCGTTGGCAGTATGGAGATTGCCCTCAGGTCACTATAGGTTCATGTCTGTGGATATCTTGTTTTAGCCACTGGGTTAATGTCAGTCA